AATTTCTAATAGATATATACATTAACTCTCTAGTAAACTATTACCAAATTACCGATCTCGACGACATTTTCTAAGAATTAAAATTGGAAACATTTTTACATTTATATTAACCAGAATCAGACTTGGAACAGAGCTTCAGGTGCCGGTTATTTCTTTGAAACATCAAGCTCTTGAAAGAACAAGTTCAACTACGTTTAACTTTGTATATTCAGCAGAAAGACAATAGTCGTGTCAATTCATCTAAGAAGTATTCGAAGAAAAAACATCAAATCATATTCACAGTCAGATTTGAATATTTGATAGAATATAATCAAGTTAAATTTAATCAACTTATTCATTGTCATAAACTGATATGAAGTTAATCATAAAGAAAGCTATGCACAGCAGACTGGAATCAACTATTTTTGAAAAAAATAGTTCGTTATTCAATCATTTTTCGTTTTGACAACTAAATAATGAAATAAACAATGAAAAAATTCCTTATTCAATAATTTTCTTTCAATCAATCGCAAGTTTAGCGAAATCACAACAAGTATTAGTATTTATATATGTAAAATTAATTATAGAACCTCTCTCTATTGATAGAAATAATGATCCTTTTTTATAATAACTTCATTAACTTAGCAATTTGTACTTTTTTTTTTATCTTCACAGAACAGATGAGTACACAATGCAGTTTGTGTAAAAATGATAAAAATTCATATTAAATATACTGAATAGGTATCTGATTTTGAAAACAAAATTTACTTGACATGATTTGACTAGATTTTAGGTTATAAATTCAACAAAAATTTTCTTGTTCATGATCAAATGTGTAATCAAGACTTGTTTTTTGCTTATTTTTTATGATGTTTCCTTTCATTTTCTTCAATAGACACATAAATCAATCTTCTTTACTGGATTCTTTTTAAATCTTTGTTTTTCAAATTAATCAATCGATCAAAATTTTCTGTCTGAGAAACAAGATCTTTACAATCACATGAGATACTGATAGATGGAGTCTTTCTTTTGAAGAGACAACATTTATTTATCGAAGAATCTTCGTCTAAAATGCATCGAAAAATTATATTTTATAAATTAGTGAAAAAAAAATAACCTAGAAAGAATCAAGTTAAAATGATTGAATTGTACCGTAGCGTTTTGGAAAACTAAAATAAAATGAATAATTCCAAATATGAGTTTAAATTATTTAACAGTACATATCAATTCGGGAAAATAACAAAGAGATCAATGAATAGAAAAAGAACAACAAGATTCTTATAGAACTATTGCAAATAAGAAATGTTTTAATTTATTTATTATCTAAACAATAAACAATATAAAAGCTGCTACATCTACTATACATATATACTGATCACTCTATTATTCAGATATGAGTATCTTCATATTAATAGAAAATTTGCTAATTATCATTGTACAGGAACACTAATATTTTCCTATTCTATTTTGTTCGTTTTTCAATTCCTATTTAGAATATATAGACAATATTTCATCGAATCGTACACATTCTCTTATAAAAAGAAAACATTTCTCAAAGAATATAAATTGTAAAATTCAATTCTGATCAACATAAACATATTTATTTTAATAAATTTTAGTCAAATATAAGTTCATATAACTTTGAAGAAACATCATAAAGCGTGAAGTAAAACACTATGAAACAGGTGCACTTATCAATAAAAACATCATAGCAACTCTTAGATCGACAATCCATTGAATCTTCAAGATATAGAAAGTTTTCACAAATAGAAAAGTTTCCAGCAATTGTATGAACAAGAACTACAAGCCATGTTGCACTATAAAAAAACCAAGAGGAAATAGGTGTTTCAATGAGTAATAATGGAATAGAATCGTCGAAAGAAGATATTGAAATAACGAAAGGATATTGTTGATAATGTCGATTGAAATTCCAACGATAGATAACAAGAAGAAAAATACTGATTGACATAATCATTGACAATATATAAAGCAAACGAGAAATCCAATTGATTATTATTTTAATAGTTTTCATTTTCATATTTATAAAATGCTTTCTCTCACTATCAAATTAGTGATATAAGAATATATATCAAATTAAAATTGTTGAACGAAGTTTTATTTTTCTATTACATTGATTGGATCAAGAACATAATAAAATTAACAAACACATCAATAGGTGACTGATGTGGTGATAAAAGACATTTGTGTATCGACTAATAAATTTGTATTAAAATAAAAAAAACCTACCATGTCAAACAAACATTGTTTTTTTCGGAGTGATCTGTTTTTCTTTCTCTTAACTCTACTCTATGTCACATTATATTAAACATGTAGTTGTATATGCCACGAGTATTAATATAAAAAAAAATCTTTTACTAATAATAATTAGAAGTCATCAAAATCAGAGATGATTTGTCTGTTCCATGTGCAAAGAATCTTTTCATAACAGAATCATCGAAAATTTTTTCTAGTCATTTTCTATGAAAAAAAGACATGCGAATGATTTTTCTCTCACGATGCAAATGTAAATGCAGTAATAATTTTATGCTCATCATTGATATTAAAATTCTAAATATAGCAGACAAATGTCAAATTAAATAGAATATTGAATTCATTATGCACATTGATCAGATAACTCATCAATTATTTATAAAGATGGAAATACATTACGATATAGATAAAGTACTTTCACAATAGCAACGATAATGAAGCCGATCGAAACGTGTACCTACATCGAATGGTGCCGGTTCGGACTAAACTTTTGATGTTCGATCTAAATATTTCAACTGATAGGCCATCATTAGCAATCTCTAAAGCATAAAGATTAACTCTTTCAGATGTATCTTTCAAGAATGTCGACATATACAAGTGCGTCAATTATTGACAGTTGGTCAAAAAAATGGAATTTTTCAAGCACTGTCAGCATTCTTTTGATTTTCTCATCTTTCATTCATTAATTCAAGTTGACGGATCTCTATAAAGATAGGAAAATATTTTATTGTACCTTACGTAACTCAATGATATCTATAATATATCTTTTTGTAATTGAAAATATAAAATCTGTTTATGAGTGATTCATTAAAAAAAACAGAATGAAATCATTGCAGCTAAAGTTTATTTCACAAAATTTAAAAAATATAAGTGTTGTTTCGACACTATTAATTCTTCATTCAGTGTCATCGTTAAACTTTATAAAACGTTCTCTCAGCATTACCAATTCTATATGACCTTTATTATATTTGATTTATATAAAGTTTATTATTTTTTGTCTTTAAAACCCTATTCACACTATTATTGACGGTGCTGGAGATGGGTTGGAGTCGGCTTTACTCATCCAAGACTTGAATAAATCGATCTTAGAAAGTTTTTAAGACAATTTTTTGATCAGGAAAAAAGGCTCATAAACACAAAATAATGCTAATATCACAAGTCACTCTTGAGAGAAATATTTTTCACATGAAATTTATTGAATTATTATATTCGAAGATCAATGAATGATAAGCCTCTTACTGATGATCGATTGTGCCGAAAAACCATTAAAATTTTTTTACGACGCGTGTGATGAGTTAATTTAAATCGAGTATGCATTAATTATTTCATAAAAAAAAAGGTATCCACTATGTTTTTAGTACTTCAGAAAAATAAATATTGTTAGAAATCCTCCGAGATAGACAACAGGGATCCACAAATTGCCATGCTATATATCTTCACCTCATTGCGGATCGAGACAAGATTTTTGACTGCAAGATGATTGAGATTTAATGATAGATGTCAATTCTCTAACGATATTCGCCAATTTTCTTGTAGATACATATATATATTGATGTGTGTTCAGTGTTAGTCTACTATTTTTATTGGTATCATTAACAGTACACACTAATCTTGCTCTGAAAATCACTTTAAATAGTTTACAATTTAAATGTAATCCTAGATAAGTAGCATGTGTACACCAAATTCGTCTAGTTCTCCATCCGATGTTATCAATGTAACACAAGATATTTATTCAACTGTTCATGATGATGGTCATACTTCATCAAGTACTCATGAAATGATCTGCAAAAAAAGATTCACAATTTACTTCTACGTAGCTAGATCCTTGGTAAGATGGTGACGAAACGATTTTTCAGCTGTTTCACGGATGTTTGATAGGCAAGATTGAAGTGAACAATCGGCGGTTTTTTTTACACTAAAGCAAAAATTCAGTTATTTTTGAGTGACTCAGCACTTGGAAAAATCTGTAGTTTCTGCATTCATTTAGTGCGAAATCATCCGATTTCATAACATTTCATAAATTTGCATAAAACTATCAAAAGATTTCACGAAATGTAAGTTTTGCATATTTCAAGAATATATTTGACTTCACTTTTCAATTGTTTCCACTATGATATGTTATCATCAGAAACTTAGCGACATCTCTCGATAGTTTTGTCGACAAAACCAAGAATATTTGATAAATAAAGATTTGCGAAAAGGTATAATCAAAACGTGCATACATTGAAATTAAAATCGAATAAGGTTTTTATACTTCCATATAGACTTCTAAAAAAACTTGTGTACATTCATATTGTTAAAAATATGTTTCATTTTCTCTTTAAATTTAAAAGAAGTACATGTGTTTCTCATTAACTGACTTTCTACTATTTCAAAGATCTTTAAATTTAAATAAACATAAAAAGATAATTTTTATATTTGATTCATCGAATCATTGACATTCATAGGTTCAATAACATTATTTATTCTGATATAAAATTCATTTATTTAAGTTTTTTTTTTATTTCTTGATTTTGTTATTTTTTTATAAAAATACAAAAAATAAATTCAATCAAACCAAAACAAATCATATATGTTATATAAAAACGATACAGAAAGATTACTAATGTTTATTCTGAACTTTTAATACATAGAGATTATTATTTGGCTATCATAAACTATATCTTGTTTAAGTATCTGATAGAATGAAAGAGAAGAAAAAATGAAATAGTCTTTTTATCTCTTAGCTCAAAATGCGAATCAATTTTGACTTATTGATTTCTTATTACGTGTTGCTCCGAAACTTGCGGTTGAGCCCTTCTTTCGATTTCTTGTTTGATTATGTATTGTTGAACATTTGTTGGTAATCCAGGATTGAGACTTAATGCATATGGTAACAATGCTTTTGGCATGTCACCAAAATCAACCATTACTCTAATAAACATTGTATCATCTCTTACATATGGATTATTTTCTTGTTGAATCATCATCAATGGAAAGAATTTAGGTATACCACTAGCAATATTCATTTCCGATTGTGGTCTTTTAAAACTATTTGATCGAATATCTGGTCGAAAAGAATCGATAATATGTC